CCCCTAGATCCCCTAAACCCTAAATACCCCAAGCCCTAAACCCCTCCCTCGAGGTCTCATCTCTTTCTCTTTATTGCACCTTCTTACTAGTCCAGCTGCGAGCCACCGGTAAATCTATCCTAAACTCCGTCGGAACCATGGGGATCCCATGAATCCTGACCCCCAACCCATGAACAGTGTGTAGTAGGGGTCATATTTAGGGTTTAGGGTTTAGCTGATTGAGGGTTTTAGGGGTTTAGGGCGTGACAGTCTTTGATAAGGGTCATAGTGAGGGCTCTCTATGAATATATTATAAAACTTATCCAGCTGTTAATGAGTCGGTGGGGGCAGTACCCAAGGCATACATAAAGATTATTAAGGATTGTGAAAAGAGCGTTGCCAGAAACTGCCGAATCTACTTTGATGTTCTTAGATACTTGTAAGTGGAGGTTTCTATACCTTGGACGGAAGCTATCATCAGCTACAGTATAGGCCCATCAATCCTGCTTGCAACCCCAGCTATGCCCAGCTCCCATGAACAACAGGACATACCAAATTGGCAGTTTTGCTTGGTAATCCGCTGACTTTCTGACGGAAAACCGCACAGAATCCTGCAAGTAGCGGAGCCTAACAAAAAAGAAGGCTGCTCAGAATAGGGTACGTACTCCTCTAGTTAGGCGTGAGAACGGGCCTCACCAAGGGGCAGAGAGAAGAAAGCCTGAATCCCTACATGTAGTACATCTGCCGAGTAATTGGGGTTCTGGGGCTTATACCGGGGTTCTTGCAGATAGTAAGAAGACTTACAAGTCAAAAATCTTCCAATTTCTTATCAAAGCAGGCTGCCGCGCTGGCAAATTGAAGTGGCACAGTCGATAACAAAAGGGAAGGCCTCGCGAGGCAGGCTTACAGTTTGGGGGTTTAGGGTTTAGGCTTAGAACTGGCAATTCCTGATGGGGGGGGTTCTTGGTCAGAGGGCAATCGTCTTCAGAGAGTGCATGCTTGGACCCTGCGGTTGATACTAAAGAATCGCATGACCTTCTCATACTAAACCCCGCAATTCCCATGGTAGTTTTGAGCATCATGCAGGATGGTTAGTAGCAAGCGTAGCCTTCAGAAATGAACATCAGTGCGAACAAATCGTCAGATAGCATTCCTGCTACGCTTATTTTGACCCATGCATCCTTTTCCCAAAAAATATACCTTAGGAGGACCGCCTACTCTGTAATAGTGGTATACTAGGAATATAAGAGGACCCTAATATGATCTCAATATCCCCTATAGTCACTATTACTGGGTGGGGGGTCCACCTAAAAAATACTCCTCAGGGCTTCGGGTCGATTAGAGCACAAGGTGATGTAGGAGCATGTGCAAGAAGAGTAGAATTTTGACGTACAGAAAAACTCTAAGCAAATAAGGGTTGTAAGAACTAGTTTTTGCAAGTATTTAGGCTTCAGCATTCAACACCCTCTTTAAGAAAACTAGGAAATTGCACTCTTCCACTTCAATCTCCATGTTCTTTTCTCATTGATTCTCCATCATTATCTGCCTAAACACTGCACATCTCCAAACTAAGTATACCTAAAGCACCTTGAAAGGGGCCTTGACTCTGGAAACTCCTCGTCACTGCTAACGGGGTGTCTTGGCCATATCTCATAGAACAAACTCCCAGCCCTGTAAGCACAAAATCCAAACACAATATAAGCCCTGAACCCCGACCTGGACCCTAGACACTAAAATGGTGCTACTGTTGGTGCTCAAAATTCTGCTCGGCCGTTGAATAGCATACATCGTACCATTGCTCCGAAGGTATACAAAGTACTTAGGGTCATGCACTATTTTCAACCCTTAACCCTGATCCCTAGACCCTAAATCCTGTTTCGCTGAATAGCATCTATATCCCCAGGTAACCCCTAAATCCCCAAACATAACCCTATATCCCGGTGTAACTCCTATGTCCCTATGTACCCCCTATATCTCTATATAAACTCTAAAGCCCCTGGAAGAGACCAAGACTTTCTACTCTTAACCCTAAACCCTAAACCCTAACCCCTAAACCCTAAACCCTAAACCCTGGCATAAACAGCATGATGAAGGCCTCATCCGTTGGGATGCCAAAGCACAGAGGATTCGTTCCCAGGCATGGCTCCACCTTCATAAAGGGGCCATATACTGTATAGAGGGTTCTATAGGGGAGTATTAAGTTAGGTCACCTCTTGCCTATTTAGGCTATCGGCACAATCCACCCCACCAACCTACTAAGACAATATAGGAAAAATCCTATTCGCACTCTAGAACACCATTACCCGTATCTACCTAGGTGCCATAGCTCAAAATAGGCAAGGGGTTCCTTGTAGAATTTG